TGCCACATCACGAAAGGTGCGCGACCCAAGGAGTATGGACGAAAAAAGCGACAATCAGGCCGCAGAAAACAGGTGAACATTGTAAATGATGAAAATGAAACCGATAGCAGTGACTGTGAGTATTACATAAATTTTGTAAATGAACAACCTGAAGAACAGTACTCAGAAATCAGTGACAATCAACCATCACATGAGATCAATGTTGTAAATGATGACAAATGGGTAGCTCCTTTGGTGGTCAATGGTGTTCTTATACCATTTAGACTAGATACAGGGGCCAATGCAAACATAATAAACCAAAGTGACTTGAAACAATTAAAATGCCCCCCTAGCATATTCAACAGAAATACGAAATTGTATGATTACAACAAACAGCCTATTGAAACATGTGGGGTGTGTGTATTACAGGTTCAAGTAAAAGGCAAGTGTCACAGGGTCCACTTTGTAATTGTAAAAAACGGAATTTCGTTGCTTTGTGATAAAACATGTGACAAATTGGGCCTTGTGAAGCGTGTCTGGGTTGTCAATAATAATACACCTGTAAAAGAGGTCAAAGAAATGAAAATGCCTAATGTGAAGAGTCCTGGGGAAAGTAACATGCATCACAATAGCAAATCACCTGCCACAAGGGTGGATAAATTGATAAATGATTATCCAAGTGCATTCAATTCAATTAGCAAGTTTGAGTCTATGCCTTTCACATACAAGATATCTTTGGAAGAAAATGCACAACCAGTTATTCATGCCCCAAGGCATGTATCAGTGCCTATGAGAGGTAAAGTGCACAGTGAACTTTCAAGACTTGAAACATTAGGCATCATAAGAAAGATTAATGACCCTACTGATTGGGTTAATAGCATGGTAGTTGTAAAGAAATCAAATGGTGATGTAAGATTATGTGTAGATCCTACAGATTTGAATAGGTCAATCAAAAGGGAACATTACCCAATACCAAAAAAGGATTTGATTATTAGTGAGATGAAAAATGCAAAGGTGTTTAGTAAGTTGGATGCTTCAAGTGGTTTTTTTCAAATTAAACTCCACCCTGAAAGTCAACCCCTCACAACCTTTAATAGTCCCTGGGGCAGGTACTGTTACCAACGTCTCCCACAAGGTATATCTAGTAGCCCAGAGGTGTTCCATAAGGCAATGGAACAGGTAGTTGATGGTCTAGACGGTGTACGAGTATATATCGATGATCTGATAATCTGGGGAGAAAATGCAACTGAGCATGACATGCGCTTAAAAATGGTCATGGAAAGACTGGTCAAATACAATGTCAAGTTAAATAAAGGAAAATGTCAAATTGGAGAATCAGAAATTACCTTTTTGGGAGAGAAACTAACTCAAAATGGAGTTCAACTTGATGAAGGTAGGATAGATACAATCACTAATTTAGAGAGTCCAAAAGACAAAACTGGACTTCAAAGAATATTTGGGGTGATTAATTACGCTGGAAAATTCATCCCTAATTTGTCTGCAAGAACTACTCACATGAGGAAGCTTTTAGAATCTCAAGTTATCTGGAAATGGGAAAGCAATCATGAGCAAGAGTTCCAAGACATAAAAAAGGTCATAAGTTCATCCCCAGTAATAGCCTATTTTGACCCTCTAAGGAAAACAAGAGTTTCAACAGATTCCAGTAAGGACTCATTAGGGATGGTTCTTATGCAACAGCATGGTACTGATTGGAAGCCAGTGGCTTACAGTAGCAAATCCCTTACAGAATGTCAAAAAAGATGGGCCCAGATAGAAAAAGAATGTTTGGGATTAGTTGAAGGGTGTAACAAATTTCATGAATACATATATGGGATGGATAAAATTGAACTTGAAACAGACCATAAGCCCTTGATACCAATATCCCAGAAAAATTTGAATGACATGACCCCAAGGTTACAAAGGTTGTTCATGAAACTGCAGAAATATGATTATACAATGATATACACCCCTGGAAAAAACTTGGTACTAGCAGACGCCCTCAGTAGAGCAAGTTTCAGAACAAAAAGATCAGAACCAAGAGTTTCAAAACTAGATATCCAGGTAGAAAATCAAGTGAACATGATATTTAATGAAATACCTGTCTCAGAGAACATAATGAGAAAAATCCAAATAGAAACAAAGAAAGACCCCATATTATCCAAGATTATTGACTATGTAAGAAATGGTTGGGAAAAGGGGTCAGAGAAAATATACTCCCAAATGAAACATGAAATTACTGTAGTGGATGATATTCTCTTGAAAGGGCAAACAGTAATTATCCCCAAAAGCATGAGGAAGGAAATATTGAATAGGGTCCATGAAGGTCACTTGGGAGTAGAAAAGTGTAAGCGAATAGCTAGAAAATCAGTATACTGGCCAGGCATTAATAATGATATCTCAGACATGATAGGAAAGTGCGAAACATGTCTTGAGCTGAGGTACAACAATGCAAAACAGCCATTGATAAATGGAGACAAAACAAAAGGCCCCTGGGAAAAGGTTGCAATAGACCTTTTCAAGCTCTTTGATAAGGACTATCTTTTAGTGACTGATTATTTCTCAAACTACCCAGAATGTGTTCATCTGTCAAGTACAAAGGCAAAAACAATAATCAGTCACATAAAGTCAATATTTGCAAGATTCGGAATTCCTTTGAAAGTGAGAATTGATAATGCTACTATGTTTGAATCAAGAGAATTCAGGGAATTTGCAGACACCTATGAATTTGATTTGTCATTCAGTAGTCCTTTCCATAGCCAGGGTAACGGAAAGGCAGAAAATGGGGTCAAAATAGTAAAAAGGCTGATGAAAAAAGCAATTCGCAGCAATACTGACCCACATCTGGCCCTGTTAGCATACAGGAATGCCCCATTAGAGTGTGGTAAGTCACCAGCAGAGCTCTTAATGGGGAGACCATTAAGAACTCGATTACCATCTGCAATACAGGCCAACGATAGATTTACCGATATAGTGAAAAGTAAAGCCCTGCAGAAGGAGAAGCAGAAAAAATATTACGACAAAAACACAAAGCAACTTTCAGAGTTAGAAAATAATCAGACGGTTAGACTGAAAAGAAACCCGAAAGATAAATGGGATGTAAAAGCCAGAGTTGTCGCAAAAGTTTCCTCCAGATCTTACAAGGTAGAAACAGAAGGAGGGAAACTTTTTAGAAGGGATAGGAGAGAGCTCCTGTCATCAAAGGAGCCATTTAATGAGATAATGTGTCAAGACCTAGATATACAAACAAGACCTCCCACTCCTTGTCCCCCAAATTCCCATGAAACAAACCAATCAACCAACCCATCACCTGTTCCAACTAGTAACAGGTTCAGCCCCTTATTAAACATAGATGTGGAGCATCCAGCTGCTGAATTAAGGAGGTCTGGCAGAGTGTCAAAACCAGTTAACAGACTCTGTTATAATTAATCACTTTTGATCAGTTAACTGGTTATTGATACTTGTCACTTGATACTTGTTATTAAGACACTTTGATAATTTCAAAGATACTTAAATCACATGAGATATTAAAAAATGAGAGTGTATCTAAAACATAAAACTTTCGAAACTAGTGACATCTATATTGCCTTTTTTATAATCATTCAAACTTTGAAACATTTTTCTGAGATACTTAGAAGGTTAAAGATACTTACAATATTGTATGAATAAAAGGTGATTATAGGGTGCAGTTTAAACATCAACAATTTGTATATTAGTGTGCTATGAATAGAATTAATGTACAATCATTCATAGATCATTGTTTAAGAAAAGTCTTTATTATGATCGATCATTTGTATTATTTTTATATTCCTTTACATTCTTTAGAAAAAGGGAGATGTAATGATATCCAGTTTCTGGTATCATCTTGCTAACTGCCTTTGAGGTATTATGTTACTTGTACATGTGTGGGATTACAAATATACAACTTGGTCTTCTAAAGCTAGAACTTGTACTGTCCAGATCATTACATGACCTATGGCTTCTGACTCAGTGGTCCCACTCAGTTACAGTATCATCCTAAGGAGGTTTTGGGCAGCCCTTGGTTTCCATATGGGATTTAATTGTGCCATATAGGGGTTTTAGTAACATGGCACTATGCCCAATACCTAAAGTGACTCTTAAGATTTGGTAAATCAGCACTTTGGCAACAGGATGATGAACCACATGTCAGATAACCCTTCATTGCCATTACAGCCTAGACTTGAATCCTGCTGATTTCTTTTTGTATGGATATTTGAAAGATAATCTATACCAAAACAATCCTCAGACTATTGTTGACCTAAAGAAGGCAATCACTGCTATATGTAATGCCATAATAATGCCATAGAGGGCAGAACATGTAAGGGTAGTTTGCCATATGAATCCAACTCTGCGTTGGTCTCAATTGTGCCTATTTGGAGCATGTTATGTAAATGATCATAGCTCCTGAACCAGTTGAATGCTTGTATTGAAACCTTCAGTAACAAATTTCCATATAACTGTTCCAGTGTATGCAAAATTTCATTGATGGCACTTGTCTAGTTTAGGAGAAATTGATTACTTCAATGGTCTCCTTTTTTTCCGGTCACCCTGTATTTACAAAACATCGATGTATTGAAAATAAATCACATGCCTTAAATATAAGAACGCAACGCTTATCATTTTCTAAATTAACATAACTGGGGTATCTCTGAAAAGTACTGTTAAGTCAGGTTATACATTTTCATCATCGATATTCTGAACACTGTCAATCATTAACATTTTCATTAGGATTTTAATAGATAATTTCAAATCTTAATTTTTATATTTGATACATACAATGGTTTTGGAAAAAGTCTATGGGAGAGAGATATGCCAATAATATAACATACTGTATAGATTCCAAATAATTTCCATTGTCCATGCACACTAACACAAACTCTAGCTACTAAACCCAGTACTGTGGACTTTTGATGACAACAGGGTGTACTTCATTGACAACCATTTGTCTCCTGTTACTAATGGGCGTCGTTTCAACAACCACATTGGTGACAGTCGGTGTACATATACCAAGATCTATTGCTTTCATGGGGGAAACATGCACAGATGTGTTGACAATACGGCGAACACTAGGAGTGTTACGTAAACCATTTTTCCCCAGGACTGGATATTGAGTAAGTGATGATTTAATCTTTGGTGATTTTGGAGTAATGACCATTTCTTGGACCTGTACGGTTTTCACAAAGGGGTTCGTTACGATTGGCGTTCTATCGATTGATTTTCTGCTGTTTGGCATTTTCTTGTTTACTGGACGCTCTGGGCCCATAGATTCAATTATGGACCTTCGTATATTTTCAAGTTTGGCCACATCGGGGGCATCACAAGTGTTACGGAGTCCATGATAAAACGGATACCCATCCCATGATAGATCAGTGTGTGGCGACGATGATGTTGATAAAACCACGCGTTTCCCATCAAGATGGTCGGTTTGTGAGGTTTCCATATTGGAAGACGTGTTGCGTTTGTTATTAGGATTGTCAATTTGCGAGGTGCCCATAAAGGACGAAGTATTGGGGTTGTTGTTATTGTCGTCTATCTCTTCGGACTTGTCATGCTCTGAGATCGCGGGGAAGGCAATCTCTGGGGATACTGGATGTGTCAGTGGGTTCTCGGATTGGTTGTGATGACTTGACGTGTTGCAGCTGCCTACCTGAGGAATAATGGACGTATCAGTATTGTTAGGAATATTAGATGTAGTAGTCGAAATATGAAGAATTGAGTGAACGATGGTGTGTGACGAGTTGTCGTAAATTTTGCTGTTTTGTTGAATTTCTATGTCTGAAACTTGAGTGGCAGTGTCCATCATCTCCGGCTTGTTCTGGGGCGACTGGTTAGTATTCAGTGGAGACGTCTGCATCGAGGGGAGGTTAGAAGGACCCTGTTCGGTTGTGTGGAGGGTGTCCGATTGTCTATCGGTGTCATTAAAGCAGCTTGACGTATCGGACGAAGGATAGGGTGTATCCGATTGTGTAACACTTTCTTGGGAGATCCTGTTGAAGTTCTCTAGCGAAAGTGAGACACTTTTGAAACCATTGTTGTTGTTAAGTTCATCTGGGGAGTCTTCAAGTGATTCCATATGTGGAGTTTCTGATTCGCTGACCGTCCGTGGCGTGTTATTGTTTGGATGGTATGGTGATGAGAAACTATATGCAGGAGTTGTTAAATTTGAGTTGGCGGGTGTGTTGTTATGCGGATTATGTTGTTCACTAATGAACCGTGTGTCCTCCATAGGGCCAAATCTGGAAGATAAATCCAATGTATCACAAATCTATCACCGAACGCACATTCTGTCCAAGCATCATACTTTCCTAGATGTTTAAACTATGAGCTACAGTGTATACTTATAAATGTGAATTCTTGTAAAGCAACTGGGTTTGCGTAACATAAGTTCCAATAGAGGACTTGCTATGTAGATGGAAAAATAGATGGCAATAGTGGTTTGGTAAGGCTTGAACACCATACTGATGAGCTAAGGACAAACAGACAATGCATGGTGTTACGCGGAATATCGCATACATTCATGGTTGCGCGGTATTTGTGATACGGGTGAATATGCCATATAGGCTAGGCAAATGGAAGTTTAACATCCCAAAAATTGCAACAGTTTTTAAATTAGGCTTATATTGTTTATTGTTACCAATTGAAAAACATATCAAAAATATAGAAAAATATATGCAGTGGACAAATATGAAATGTCACATTCTAGGTACCCCCCTCCAAATTTGAGTATGAGATTGTAAATATTTTTTTTATTTCAAAATGGAATGCTCTTGTCAACTAAACAAGTAATATTATGATAGTTTACTAACATAAGAGCAACTAAAAATTGTAAACAAAGTATTTGAGTGCAATAATTAGCATTTTTAGCCCCAAATATCTGAAAATAGGCCATCAAATAGCCCGAATTTAATATAACAATGTATTTATTTCTGTATCAATTCATCAGAATTGCATGAAAAAAATCAAGGAGGTTATTGTACACATGACCATTGTATTTGATAAGTATCAGGGTCATTAAGTGACAATTGAGCGTGAAAATAATATTTGAAATTTCAATATTTTACCACACCCACTTTTGGGGTGACCTTACTTTTGTTTAATTACTTCCAAGATATGTCATATTTGAACTCAATAGCACAACTAAATTATTTGTAAAGGCTTATTTTGTCCTGAAAACAGTTTTTTGATGTTTTCAGGAAAGGATTACGTAAAAAAAAAGTAGAAAAACAGCAAATGCCAGGTGAAATATAGGGGAAGCCCTACTTTTAGTTGATAACTGCTAAATTATCAAATGTTTTTTCCTTTTAAATTTAATTTGATATATAATATACCTTTTCTGGTAAAACAGAGAACGATTTGTTAGAAATTAGGTACAATCAGTTGTCTAAAAATATCCTTGAAAAGGCAACAAAATATTAAATATCCCTGTCCCTGACATCAGTTTATTAATATGAGCCAAAAAGGTAACCCAGCCAAATGTTTGTTAATAACCCAGTCATTCAGCATGGGTTTGACATCATATTTGGCACAATTACCTTGTCCAATGTTCTTTCATTCTATTAGTGTCATTGATCTATCCTTAATCGTCACGATTTTATAGCCATTTACAAAATGTGCTCAAAATATTGAAATGTGCCTAACTGACTGGACATCAATACCTCCAGTTTCTTTATCTGTGGACCTTTTTCTATACTAACAACACTTGAAGAAAACTATTCATGATTTCAAATATAAGAACTGTGAGGGAAATTTATTGTTTTTATATGAGAGCGAAAAAGCTCTTAGATTGTAAATATTATGTATTGTATATATGTTATTTGGAATAAAAAAAACAATAAAAAAAAACAACACTTGAAACATTAAAACAAGAGATAAGAATGAAGATGAAAGCCATAACACAAGATTTTTATGCCCCTGATTTGTACAACTACGCACGATACGTTCAAGTTGGCCTCCAGGCATGACACCCATATTCTATGGCATGGTGTAAAATGGCCATAAAATCGTGACCACTAGAGATAGACCACTGAGACTGGGTAGATTGATAATACATTGACCAAGACTCAATTCTGCCAAATATGACACTAAGTCCATGCAGGATGACTGGACTGGGTTATTAAGATTTGTTTGGGTTACCTCAGTCTTTGGCTCGCCCTGTATTAAGGAAAAATTGTTAATTTTGACTTAGGTGTTCTTAACCACACAGTGATATTGAGAAATGAAATGAAGAAGTTCAACTGAAGAATGTTGGATTTCAAGATGAAATTCAATAAAAAATGAGGAAAAGGTTTCTACGTTAATAAATCCTACTGAGTTAACTAGTGTAACGCAAAGTAATACCCTGGTCTTTATACAGGGCATGGTTCGATTATGTTATGTTCATTATCAAAAATGCTGCCTTAATTTTGTAATCTTAACCTTCATATATTGTGTCTGACTTATAGAGAGCAAAATTTTGGGCCCCTAAAACCCCAAAGTGGGCCCAGATTTTGAAATATTGAGGCCCATTTTCTTCAAAATTTGGCCTGAAATTAAAAAATAAGGCCTTAAAAGGCCCACTTATGACCAAAAAGGCTCACTTTTCGGGGCTTTAAGGCCTTTTTGGGCCCAATTTTTTTCTAGGCCCACCCAAGGGGCCCCCTTACATGCCATAGAACAGTTATTCCATATTTCTGCAAGTACATCTCATAGAAGTACAATCTGCCTTACACACACACAATGGATGATCTCTGAGAGAGGGGAGCTGCATTTAGGCAATTGGTACAAAAGTTTCGTTGATTATTTTACAGTTATAACGGAGGCAGTTTATTTCCCTTCCACTCCTGGATCTGATGGTACACTCTATAACTTTGGTATTCCGCAGCATCAGAAGTTGCCAGTTGGAGGAAGAACACGGGGCTGCAATAATTCAGATCTTGCTGCTCTCTTTTAATAGAATTTTTGAAGCCTAAGTTCATTTAGGGTTTCACCATTTTCCACCATAAATTGACAAATGAGCATGTTTCTCTGCAATGACAGAGTTACTTGCATTTCACTGGTTTTCCACTTGATTACGTTGTAACAAAATGTCGGAACATCGAAGGTATGATTTTTATTTTTTCCTTATTTCACACGTTGTAGGCAGAATTCCCACAACCACAAACATGTATCAGTATTATATGTTTAAAAAATGTACATATTTGCGATCAAATAGTTCAGAAGACAACAGAATCGTCGATTTAATTCCTCACTTAAGTTACATAAACGGTAATTCGATAAACAGTTAAGATCTGCACTTCAACCCAAACCGTTTATGTAACTTAAGTGAGGAATTAAATCGATGATTCTGTTGTCTTCTGAGCTTTTTTGCGCAAACATGTACATTTTCTAAAACATATGATACTGATACACGATTGTGAGAGAAAAAAACATTGTGGGGATTCTGCCTACAACGCGTGAAAAAAGGAAAAAGAAAAATCATACCTTCGACGTTTAGACATTTTGTTACCGAAACGACCCGTTTCGGTAGCGTAATCGAGCGGATCACCAGTGCTTTTGGTAATCTAAAAACAACCGCTTGTTTTCTCAAGAACTCACTCCCCAGATATCTGAGATTTAAATGTGCTCTATCAGTTTAAATTCCGTTTAATAACCATAAATTCGTTTCTACAGCATTATACATCCAATTGATAGTTCCATAACATGTAGTAATGTACTCTTATGTAATGATTTATTTATCTGATGAATTTAAATATATGCAAATTTTGTAATTGCGGATTGTAATTAATAATTTAAACAATATTAAATTCCACGGAAACTACAACTTACATTATTTATATAAGCCTAGTATAGAGCTGTTATCAAATACCCTAATATCAGAGTGGTGATATGTAATTATTCATCAAATAAAAGTGAGGTCACCTTAACATTTCACCTGGTGCAACTATTAATTCCTATTTTTCATACTAATAAGGTATAAACCTTCACAAAACTTGTATTTTAGAAGCTTATATAAATGATTTAGATGTCACCTATAATACAAATGTTATGCATTGTGGGAGTTAGTCATCAAAATGATAGTCTCCCCATATAGTGGGCGGGGCAAAACTATGAAAATGAAATAATTTTTTTCTTCCTAAGTATACACGTTAGAACTCTGACACTCACCAAATATGAAGTTCATATGAATATGTAACACCATGATTTTTTTCATGCTTTTCTGACAAATTGATCCTAAAATATCTAAATAGATATGTGATAACATGCCTGTTTTGTGGCCTATTTTGTTATACTTTGGGGTCAAATGTCCAATTTCTGGTCTCAAAAATGATTAAAATAATATTTTAAATATTTGTGAATATGTGATCTATCATAATAAAGCTTGAATACTTGACTAAAGTATTCCATTTGGGAAGAAAAAATTGTTTCCTACCAATACTCAATTTTGGGGTAGGGTTGTAGGGGGTACCTAGGAAGTGAAATTTCATATTTGTCCACTGCATACATTTTTCTATATTTTTGATATGTTTTTCAACTGATATCAATACATAATATAAGACTAATTTAAAAACTGTTGCAATTTTTGGGATGTTTGGGCCTTTTATGAGCCCATTTGCTTGGCCTAATACTCACCTGCGGTATATGGCATATTCCGCAGGTGAGTATGCCATATTCCGCAGTGAATATGCGATACATTTATTTCAGTGAATACCCGATACTCACCTGCGGAATATGTCATACTCACTTGCGGAATATGCCATATACCGCAGGTGAACATGACATAAACCACAGCTGAAAACCTAATACAAAAAGCCTTGATTTGATTGGTTGCGAGAATTGACTCTAAATATTTAACTACGCAATAAAGTTAGTGCCTCGAGTACTAATATCTGAAATCTGGCCTGATTGAGTATTTTTTTTACGTGAGATTGGTGAGTGATACTTCTGCATAAGTTGATAGATTCGATACACTGTACTGTTGATTCAGTAATAATTATAATTATTTATAAACGTTTACATGCTCATTCAATCGATGCAATTGACAATTGCGTACTTCTGTATCACTTTCTCATTGGATAGTGTGTATGCCATATACCGCATGTGAATCTGCCATACACCGCAAGTGAATATGCCATATTCGTTGCGGAATATGACATATATTTGTATCTTGTTAAACGCGTAACAAATGGTTGGAAATGTAAATAAGTGCCTATACATTGTAGCCCTACGTTAAAGGCATGTGACAAATGTAATGTGTATTTTTATACTTCTCTTTATCTGAACAGATGGCTACTTAAGCCATCTTTATACCAACTCCGTGATGCCGACCTAGTCTTTACGATCCGAATACCTACCTAGTGTCCTTAGGCGTGCACCACGTGATTCTGTATGGGGATATGCTTGACTGTCTGTCCCATAGGTTAGGCGATACGATTGTCATACTATCATCTCCTTCAAGATCGAAATACGCAGAACTCTCAGAGCTTGAGCAGCTAGTGTCAGAGAGGGCAAATTCAGAGTGGAAAATGATATCCTCTATAGCTGAACCATTGTCTGTTGAAAGACCTTCGTCCAGGAATACCGAGGAATCATGCGTAAGTGTTTTTCTGTCTGTCTGATCGGACATCCTTATCTGAAATGTAATGGATTCATATATGAAATACATGCACAATTACAGTTATGATACATACAGATCACTGAACTTTTCATCATACTTACGTGTTAGCACTAAAAGTGGTAGTGACTGGTCAAAATGTGACACAAAAAAAAGAAAAAAGGTTTTTATAGCAACCTTGCAACGGTAAGACTAATGTGACAGTTTTCAAAAATGCCCGAGATGCAACTGCAACACTATCTAGTTTTTAGACAGTCAGTCTCTGTAAAATGAAAAATCGACACTTGAGAACACAATATACTGGGTATTATTTTGACTCGCACAATATAGGCCTACATGGTACGACATTGGCATAATTTGAGGCACTAGGTCGACAGACAGGTGGCAGTAAGTGACAGACAAACCACTTCTGCAATCTTTCTGTTGACCTGGTTCCTATGATTTCAGCCTACCTCAGGAGACTCGGGTATGGTTTCCAATCGCCTCCCAGCAGACCCAGTCATCACGTCCGACGCTGTCCCTTTGTTGTCATTGTTTGGAACAATTGCAACTGGTGCAGAGGTGGATCTAGTTGAACTTCGCCAATCAAACAGGCTTGGTGAATAACTTCGATATAATCCTCGTGGGTCTCCGCTGATCTGGCGCCTCAACGCTTTACTTTTCCAGTTGTCAAAACATATGCATCCGATGATCATAAGGACGAAGGGACAGCCAAAGCATAACGCAAATAACAGAGCATAGCTGATACCGAGTTCTTCTTCATTGTCGTATGTCATGATTTCCGGTTGGATGGTTGTTGGAGTAGTTGGCGGCGCTATTGTTGAAGTCAAGTTGAGTGACTTTATGATGGCTTTGACGAAAGCCAGACCATCATACTCCTGTAGTAAAGACTTATTCTTCTCCCCAAAGGTACCCATGTAAACAGTCTGAAAGGAAAAATATAATTTTCGGGTAACATTTGTTTTTACGTATCGTACTTTACATTTTTGTTCAAATATGTGGTTCTCCTAGACGATGAACGACTGATGCAAAACGAAAAGCTTGTATGAAAGTTTTATTTAAGGGATTTAATGACGACCAAACCACCTTGGAACCTCAATTTGCATTATCTAGAAAACGAATTGTGATAATTGACTTTAGATTTAATAGGAAACCTGGAATAAATTTAAAAAAATTAATACATTACCAAAAGTATCAGGCATTTCAAATATATCTCTACTTTCATCATCTTGACCGTATTTTGTCTGTTTTAGACGATCAGCAAGTCTAGACAACACTGCAAAAATAAAACAATCATCTCATATATATTTTTTATACATTATATTATATTAATAAAAATCAAATTTCGCGGTATTAGACACAGCAGTATCGTTTTTACCAAAATTTGGCAATATTACCTGGTAAGTAAGACAGGTTTGCCATGGTTGTTTGCTAACTCGACCATCATCACATAAAGTTGCTTTGTAATATGTCTTAATCAACAATGAACACAGATACTTGTTAACACAATATATCGTATTGGAAACAGTTGCTTACTAACTTAACCAACATTGGAGAAGTTAGCTTGCTAACCAGGACCCAGGACCAGGATTGAACACAGATGCTTGTAGCATAAATATGGGGATAAGCAGTGCGATGTATAATTTCTACATCAGTTTTGTGAAGCTAAACGAGTAACAAAGTTGCATGTCTATTTGATCAGCACAGATGCTTGCTAATTTGATCAACAGTAAACACAGATGCTTGTCAGTTTGATTAAAAGTGGACTTAGATCCTTGCTGATTTAATCATTATTGGACACAGTTGCTGGTTAATTTGATCAGTAACGGACACAGTTGCTTGCTAATTTGATCAGTGTCGGACACAGTTGCTTGCTAATGTGATCAGTATCGGACACAGTTGCTTGCTAATTTGATCGGTATCGGACACAGTTCCTTGCTAATTTGATCAGAATCGGACACAGTTGCTTGCTAATTTGATCGGTATCGGACACAATTGCTTGCTAATTTGATCAGTATCGGACACAGTTGTTTGCTAATTTGATGGGTATTGGACACAATTGCTTGCTAATTTGATCAGTATCAGACACAGTTGCTTGCTAATTTGATGGGTATTGGACACAGTTGCTTGCTAATTTGATCAGTGTCAGACACAGTTGCTTGCTAATTTGATCAACATTGGACACAGTTGCTTGCTAATTCAACATTCCACACAGGTGTTTACTAGCATGATCAACATAAACACAATTGATCAACATTGGATACAGTTGCTTGCTAACCTGATCAATATCAAACACAGTTGATTGCTAACTCGATCAACATTGGATACAGTTGCTTGGTAACTTAATCAACATCAAACACAGTTGATTGCTAACTCGATCAACATTAGATACAGTTGCTTGGTAACTCAATCAACATCAAACACAATTGATTGCTAACTCGATCAACATCAAACACAGTTGATTGATAACTCGGTCAACATCAAACACAGTTGATTGCTAACTAGGTCAACTTTGGATACAGTTGCTTGGTAACTTAATCAACATCAAACACAGTTGATTGCTAACTCGATCAACATTAGATACAGTTGCTTGGTAACTCAATCAACATCAAACACAATTGATTGCTAACTCGATCAACATCAAACACAGTTGATTGATAACTCGATCAACATCAAACACAGTTGATTGCTAACTCGATCAACTTTGGATACAGTTGCTTGGTAACTTAATCAACATCAAACACAGTTGATTGCTAACTTGATCAATATTAGATACAGTTGCTTGGTAACTTAATCAACATCAAACACAATTGATTGCTAACTCGATCAACATCAAACACAATTGATTGCTAACTCGATCAACATTCGATACGGTTGCTTGCTAACTTGATTAACATCAAACACAGTTGATTGCTAACTCGATCAACACCAAACACAGTTGATTGCTAACTCGATCAACATCAAACACAGTTGATTGCTAACTTGATCAACATCAAACACAGTTGATTGCTAAATCGATCAACTTTGGATACAGTTGCTTGCTAACTTGATCAACAGCAAATACTGTTGCTTGCTGACATGATCAAAATAAGACCCAGATGCTTGCTTTTGATTTTTCACATTTGTATTGAATTCGTATTTACACGTTATTGTAGAATACATAGGTCAGAATCAAAACCAACAGCAACAAATTCAAAGACAAACAAACATACCTTTAAGTCAAGTGTTCTGTTTACAGTGAGAATCGTGAGTAACTTCTAATTTTTCTTTCATACTTTACGGCATTTACTTTCTTTGTTCCAATAACATGAGCAATCGAGTTCACTACCCCAAACATTTTCTTTGGATAATTCTGAGCCAATTATTAAAAAGCGTAGTCGCTAAACTAGTAACCAATTTGATATTGTCCTGATATAATAGAACTGAGTTGATTTTAGCACACACCTTGAATAATTGGCCCATTAATCATATCAATAAACGGAGTGCCCGACTCAGTTTGAGGCATATTTGGCGACGCGTCGAATGTTAGAAGTTTATTTTCAAGCAGTCATATTTGCTTAGCAGCGGCCGTTTGCCTACGGCGGCCGTAGGTTCACAAAGTCGATAGGCCTACAGAAAATCTACATCGTACTGCTCATCCCTATTTTAGAGCAAATAGATGAAGTAAACTATCTCAGGACTTGAATATAGCATTAGAAAGGGGAAGGATATGATAACGTTTGATACGGAAGTCTTCGAGTAACAAAGTTGATTAAATAGTACTTGCATGAACAGGGAGCAATTTTGAATTTTTCAATCCAAAAAAATGAAGATAACCTTCAATCCAAATCTGAGAGAAGAAAATGCGTAATCTATTCTAAAATACCTTCAATTGGAGCAAAGCAAAGTGAAACGCTGAAGAGATATCAAAATTAATACAAATTCTGGCCTTTTGGTATCTATTTCACCCCATGAAGACAGATCGCCTAAAATTACAATCGTATGATCGTGATGCGAGACTCAACATTCAACAGGAAATTAGAAATATTGTGTCACTCATGCAGCAATTTTTTTACTGCTTAATAACAAGTGAATGACAATCACGTCAAATCTTACAAGTATGAGAATAGCATGACGTTTTGATATTTCAAGATCACTCGTTTAATTTGAAAAGTAATGGTGGTGATTGAAATTGCGATATAAAGATAAAACTGCAACGAAATATTTGTAGATTTTTTGGAAATCTAATATACATCAAATATCGAATTTTTTAAAACAAAAAAATATGTATAAATAGTAAGGCCTGCAGGTTCAATTCTCCATAGTAGCATTAACATTGGTCTCGTATATGTCATATAATCATAATTGAAACACAACTATTATTCGAACTTATGATCGGATATAAGCATGATGTGTACTTAAAGGTAATAAAGTAACAAACAAAAAGTTCGGTAGGGAATAGTAAAGCCCTCCGTCCGTCCGTCCGTCCGTCCGGAAGATAACTCGAATACATGATACAAGTAGACGAATTTTCTTCATATTTGGTGGAAAGATGTATATTGGTGATTAGTTTCACGCAATTCTTTTTAAGATGACCGCCGCTTTAAAAATGACGGGAATTTTTGGCAAAAAAACTTTCATTTTAAACCAAAGTAATACATATTATTGTTTGAAATTTTGATAGAATATTCACAACATCTAACTATTTCACACATGTTCCGTGTTTTTACCTGACCCTAGGGGCCGTGAATGGGGGGTCGAGAAAACAGGAACTTGCATTAATTTTGTGAACTTTCTGAAGTATAGCTTTAATATACTCAAGTGAAAGGCAATTTAGAGTAGATTGCAAATATTGTGTTGTTTTTTTACTCGGGCCTCGTTAAATTCAAAAGTGCTGCCTACAGTGGAATTTCGCAATATTTTTTTGATCCTTTCAAAGTATGGCTATTTCATACTCAAATTGAAAGAATTTTAGATTTGGGGCTCAGAAAATTCCAAATGGCCGCCTTGCAGGAATTCGCAATTCTAAAATCTAATTTTTTCATTTTTAACCAAAGTTATGAGTATTTTTTTACCATCAACTAAGGTGAGCAATACCTCTCGGGTACGGGTATATCCCGTAAAGGCACGGACGTAATCAACGCACGTAATCACATGCAAGGCAGACCCAAGAACCCCTCCTTGATACAGGAAATTTTAAGGAAATTAGGAAAGTAACAGAAATTAGATTAGAAAGATTTAATGAACATGAATTGAAAGATATTTTACCATTTTCCAATCAGACCACTAGTTCTCAATGTAACGTCAAGCCCTAGAGTCTTCCCTAAAACCAGTACCAACCCCAAGAACCTCTTTTATAAATGGCTCTAATCAGAAAAACACAAAAATGTCCAAAAACTGCATAAAACATAACCATATGGATACTGATGTTAAAATTTAAATTGCATTGACTGATAATAAGTGACTTATAACTGAGTATAGTGAACTTGTAACATATGAACTGATGTGTCACATCCTTATGCCTTGGTCACATTTGCTCCGATTTTCACTACGGCGCCCGGCCGATTGAGTATTTTGTTCAAAATTTAATACAATATTGAACAAAACACTCAATCGGCCGGGCGCCGGCCGATGGATCGGAGCAAATGTGACCCAGGCATTTTTGGTTCTGCACAAAATATTTTAATTGCATTGGACCACTTTCATTTAGTGGACATAAGTCCTCTCCTTTCATAAAAAATCTTTTGAAAGCCAAATAAACAAACTTATGAGGAACGAACGTGCAACAAATATTTGGCAAAAAAGTTTCAGTTTTCATTTTGTCTTATTTCTATAATGCCTGGGTCACATAGCCGCCGGGCGCCGGCCGATGAGTAGTCATCGGCCGATTTCTAAATCGACCGGGCGCCGGTGACTTTTCACCGATGTCTTGATCTAATCGTGAGTATGGTCACATAAGTACAGGCATCGTACGGCGCCCGCAATCAATTGAATCTGAAAGACATCGCACGGGTATCGCAAGGCTATCTGCCGATGGCCGTACGGCACCCGCCAGGACATCGGTCGCTCTACAGGCCTCTAGATTTATACAAAATTCTTGTATGACCCGGTATGCCTGTTCCACATGGCGTGAATGCAAGATTTGAAAACGAAATACTTCGATAGACAGGACTTCCAGGATAATAATGTTTCCATGCAATAAAAATCAGAAAGAACCTCTTTTGAGTAAATAGGTTCAATATTTAGAAAAAATGCTGACATGGGGTCCCTATTCATAATTTTTCAAATTGTTTGATTGATATTTTTACTATATCATGGGTACTTCAATTGAAATAAAACATAAAGTACATATTGTTTTAATAAAAACATTGTATTTATGCCCAGAAAGTACTCATGATGAAAGATATGACCGTCTAAAATCACTTGCCATACTGCACGTGGTCTTTTCATCAAAGTGAACCCTCATTTTTAGATCTTTCATATAAACAAATACTATGTCTACCTGTCCATCCGATGCTATTAGCAAAATTCCATATTTCTGCATCTTTCTTTTGACTGTTCTCGTAAAGAGAATTTGTTTGGTCATAAAAATATGTTAAAAGAAATTGGCGATTTTTTCTTCTATTTCAAGTGGACCTCTTCCCTAGACACATCTAAATCTTCATCATCCACCAGCTCACTAGCATTGTTATTGTCTTTGGCCTTCCTGATATATGGCCCATTGGCCTTATCCCCTCTATCCTTAGCCTTTGGCATATTAACTGTAATTGAGACAGTGAACTTTCGTATTAAAATTGTGACCCTAGAAAATACTGTACTCACAAAAACATTCAGAAGATTTTTAGAATAAATGATTTGTAATGGTATATGCATGAGTGAATATACGCATAGAAATGTATCACTCTATTCATTGTGTATAACAGACATACACCATTAATGTCAATATAAGAAAGACTAGATCAACCCATCCACCCAGCCTGCCAGCCATTCAAATGTGTGTCATTGTTTTACAGTAAGCCTAATCGTTCCATTTATGTTTTATAAAAAATCTCTGACAGTGTGTAGTAATTATAATTCTACCTCATTATTTTTAAAACCTTTATATTACTTTATAAGTAATCATTATAAGATTTATCAAACAAATCAGCACGCAAAATCCCAAGATGACCGTGCGATGCCACCGGGCGCCGTAAGATAATCGTACGATGATCGGACGGGACACGGCCGCGTAGGTACCGATGAGTTTGGTTGAGAAAATTGGCCAAGACATCGGCAACTTTTATCTCCGCGATAAAACTCTGCCGGCGCCCGTACGATGTCTAAAAATCGGCCGATGAGTGGCGATCATCGCCCGGCGCCCGTACGATGCCCGGGCTCGCCGGCCGATTTTGAACAAAATACTCATCGGCCGGGCGCCGTAGTGAAAATCGGAGCCTATGTGACCAAGGCATTAGACAAGACAAATAAAAACATAAGATATGGACTTTGCAAAGGTTCACCTACATTCCCAGACCAAGGTCAAAGTTTTTCTTAACATTGTTTAATAGTTTATCATATTTTCATATTTTTGTAGACATGTTTTTTATAATTGATGATTTTGGAAATTAGACCCCTGCTGAAATCTCAAATTAATAAAAAATATGTTATGTTGTATGTTACTCAACAAATTTATAAATAGTCAATGATGCAATTATAGCTAATATAGACCAATTTAAATCGTCAGACTTTACCAATAGATTAAAAAATTAAATAGTAATACCACCCACTCTGAGTTTGGAGTCCATTTTGGTCTTATTTTTCAGTTGAAACCGTATAAAATGTTCTTGATGTATGTTAAAGAATATATGATATTTTTATCTGTTATCTATTCAAAAGAAATTTTCAAATATAAAATATACTTTGAAAAATGACCCCTGCGTAATCCCAAATAAATGATAAACGCTAATGTTGTGTGATGCTCAACAAGCAAAAATATGTTCAGTGATATTAAATCTACCAATACAATCTATTCAAAACAGTGGAGCTTCAACAGGAGGAAGTTATTATTTTGTCAATTCCGTTAGTACTAATATTACCTTTGCGTGGAATAAAATATGATTATCGTGTGTGAACTATAGTAGTCTATTCATCATTTTATCGTACAACACTTGAAATGTGTAAACATCGAACATGTTAACATGGACCCGTTGACTTGGACCTACTTTTTGACATAGACATTTAAGACGTTTCTAGCCTAAGCCTACTGGAATGACATGCAAGGGAGTTAACGGAGACTCCAAGACAACTGCAAAATGGAGATGGTAAAATTGCTTTTAAAAATCCTGTTGGCAACATTTGCAACGGTGGTGACATGTAATCGCCCGAATATTGTCATAATGCTGGCAGATGATCTTGGTATCGGGGATGTAGGGTGTTTTGGAAACGATACCATAAACACACCTCATATCGATGGAATTGCTAAGGAGGGAGTGAGGCTGACACATCATCTAACTGCAGCTTCAGTGTGCACACCGAGTAGGGCGGCTTTATTGACAGGACGGTACCCGGTAAGGTCAGGTCAGTATATTTAGAATAGATGTAGGCAAGACTGGGTCAGAATAGAACAATAGGCAAGTCAAATTAAAAAAGCAGATGGATTAATATAAAGATGTTAAAACATCACACAGACTTTATTATCAGTTCCTGAAGCTGAATATGTACATTTTTTGGTCTCCCAGCCTAATATACGCGAATTACTTCTTTTCACAACCGTCCCTTATATCTCATAAATAGCATTTTCAGTCTCAAGTGTTATGTATATCTAATACTTATACATGAACGAAGATATTAATTTTAACATGTCATCATTGAAGGCACACTAGTACACTACGCATATATGTATCTTAACAGTACTGTAAAACGAACGATATTATAAAGGACCATGTGAGGTATGGCAAGTGATTTTAGACGGTTATATCTTTCACCACGATTACCTTCTGGCCATAAATACGGTGGTTTTTATTTTAGAAAATATGTTATCTTTCAAGTGAAGTCCCGAAGATTCTAAATATCAATCAGTCTCTGAAAAATTATGGATTAGGATCCCACCTTGGCACCTTTTAAAAAATGTCAAGCTTTTCTAAAAAGAGGATCTTGTTTTTCTCAATCTAAACATATCATAAGTTTTTTTTACACTTTATTAACAATTTGAAATGCGCTAAATTAAAAACATGTATCACATGGTATTTTGCCATTGGGAAAATCCATGCTATCCATTGTTTTCAGGATAATTTTGGTCATCGAAAATTGATATCTTCACAACTAGACCTTCAAACAATTCTACTTTGAGAGACGTTTTAGACCCCTTGTTGAATAATCTTTTCATGCATTAAAAATCAGAAAAAGAAGATCCTCTTTTGAGTAAATAGGCTTAACATTTTGGAAAAAATGTTGAGGGGTCCCTTCTCATAAATTTTCGAATTGTTAGACTGATATTTTTATAATCATGGGGACTTCTCTCAAAAGAAAACATATTGTGTTAATAAAAACCACTGTATTTATGCCAAGCAAGTACTCGTGATGAAAGATATGGCTATCTAAAAGCACTTGCCGTACACCACATGGACCTTTTATTAGTTATTATCGTGACAAAACCAAAGCGTCCCAGTTCCAACCTTTTTTTTCAGTTGAACACCATCGATTAATGCTATGAATTTCACACGCAAATGATACAGATGTACTAGATGATCTTCCAATAAAATAAATAAGAATTTTTCCCACTGGGTTAATTGTACCAAGTGTGGTGATACAAGCGTTAGCGGTTTAGATGGAGATCCCGGGGTGGAGATAGCATAGTCAGACGGACGAACGAACGGCAGTCAGACCGTCTGACGGCTCAAGAGAAAGAACGTTCTTCTTTATGCTTCATTCGCAGAATTCTAGAAATTATTGTTATGTTGTATGTAGTAAACGTAAATTATCATTTGATATTAACGGGAAATCCCACTATTAAAGGTAGCTTTATCTACACAGTACCGTAAAACGATATAATTTACTCGTTTAGTTGTATGTAAAATCCGAATGCGATCATCGGGTACAGAGTAAACAAGACAATAACCATTCGCTAGAAAAATCTTGAAAATTGTCAGGCTGGTTTGACATGAAACCTAAACTGTGGTTGTTGTTTTTGATGTCAGTATAATAATATTGTTATTTATAATGGGAAACTACGACCTCTCTTTATCGTTTAGTTAATAAGCTGGAAAGGACGGCCGTTTCTGAGATAGAAGATTGATAATCGTATATCTGTATATTCGGTGAAATCGAGAATATAAGACAAATTTGTGGGCCACAGGTCTGTGAGCCAATCTATTCAAATATTGAAGATATTTTCAATGGATGTCATGCCATCAATTTGAATACGAAAATAACTTTGTTCAACTGGCAATTAATGATTGAACAGAAATTGATAAGAATTTAAAAACATAGATGGCATTACAGTCATTCCTCCCATTAAAAACAATTTCCACATATAGATAATCATTTTTAATTGTAGTGAATACCTGGATATACATAATCGTATATATCATAGTTTAATTTTATTGAGAGGTTCAGTGACATGCATTTCGAAAGTAAATGTGTAATATAATGACCCCCAGAATTGTTGTCCACCTCTCAATTGGTTTAAAGGAGGACACTGTTGCCACAATTTCTTGCATCTTCATACTCAACAAAGCATCTAAACCCCAATGGAGTGTAAATAGTGCATAAGGCACACAAATTTTACACGTTTTACGTGCACGTTCTTCAATATAGTGCTAAATTAACCTCCCTAGTAATTGAGTTAACTAAAGGTTGAGTTGACTTGAGGTTAAACTGACTTAGGGGTGAGTCGACTAAGGGTTGAGATAGCCAAGGATTGAGTTGATTAAGGCGATGACTTTGCTTGAGTTGACTTGGGGTTGTGAATTTACCAAGCGTTGACTAAGGATTCAGATGACATAGGGTTGCGATGACTTCGAATGAGATGGCCACTTAGCATGGATGAGTTCACTAGTTACGGTCTTGAAAAACTGTAGGACTATAGTGCAGAGATTATGAAAATGCTACAACAGTATGTATTTTAACTATGATATATATTTCAGGTATGGGTTCAAGTAATCCTCTCATCCGTATGAACATACATGTAGCTGTACCATCTGGCCTCCCTCCCAGTGAAGTTACCATAGCAGAGATGCTCAAGCAACATGGTTACAAAACTGCAGTTATCGGTAAGCATCCAGAACTCAGTTAATCCTCGTGTGGTTTTCTCTCATCGTCGGTTCCCACGCTCAATCACTACGTAGGAGGATAGGTCCGAAGCTTGATGAAGCAAGATGGTTTTCTCTACGCTTATCGTAATAAATTGGGTAACATGTATTACAGGCAGCGGATCGTTGTTGAATATCTGCAGTTGTCTCTTTATTGTCTTGTTATAGAACTCAATAAATTCATTTTCCCACAAATTGAATTATTGACATTTTCAGGTAAATGGCATTTAGGACTGAACGAAAAAAGCTACGGGGACTTTAACATGCATCCATTAAAGCAGGGCTTTGATAGCTTCTATGGTAGTCCCATGACAAACCTGAAAGATTTTGGAAATGATGGAGATTCAGTTATATATGCAATGCACAAAAGATGGAGGACTGTCCTGCTCTCAACTCTGGCATTGGGGTTATTGACTGCGTTCATTGTACATAGGAAACTGTCCGCACATGTTGGAATCTTTATAGCTATAATCGTTAGCCTACCGTGTGGTTACTTTTACTTCACGTCATCCAACATGAAAATGTTAAACAGTGTGTTAATGAGAGACTTCGACGTTGTTGAGCAACCAATACGTTTCCAGAACTTCACACAGAGACTAGTCAACGAGGCGCGTGAATTTCTGGACGCCAGACGGATGGACAAAGAACCGTTCTTGCTTTATATCCCATGGCTTCAAGTCCACACGGTCTTACACACGTCTCCAGAGTTTAGGGGTCGTTCAAGACATGGAAAATACGGGGACAACGTTGAGGAGATGGACTGGAGCGTGGGGGAGGTGGTTCGCTACCTTAAAGAGTTCAAATTGATTGATAATACATTCGTGTACTTTACATCTGATAATGGTGGCCATAAACGGGAGTTCAGCATAGAAGGGGAGATGCACGGTGGATATAATGGCATATACAGAGGTATAGGCAAAATATGAGCTTTATTTTCCAATTTGGTCAGTAACAGTTGACTCTTATGAATCATTCGTGTCCTCATTCTTCATAGATTCAAATATAGATTAAAACCAACTTGGTGAATATAACAAGTACATAAATAGATCTAGATCTAGTCTGCTGTGTTTGAGTAATGTCTTTTGGAGCAGTACAATATAATATAATCGTCAGCAGACACCAAGAAAACCCACTTGAGTTTACTCGACAACAGACTGAAAAGCGTTTTTGTTATTGTAGGAGGTAAGGGAGATGGTGGGATGGACGGTGGTATCCGTGTCCCAACAGTTGCCATGTGGAAAGGACACATTCCCCCTGGGACCATTATCACTGCTCCTACCAGTGTCATGGACGTATTCTCCACTGTTGCTGCAATTACTGGGGCTAATGTACCGAATGACAGGCTTATAGATAGTGTGGATATCCTACCATTGATGAAAAAGAAAACCTCCAAGCCACCACACAAGTTCATGTACCATTATTGTGGAAACCAGCTCCATGCAGTTAGGTACACACCTGGAAATGGTAAGTTGCAGTTGTTTTACAGTTCATTGGACAGCTTTTTAATATTCAAGTTGGTCACTTCAATGTCTAAAGGACTACCATGGACTTGACAGAAGAAATGACACACATAAGTTCTTGATAAAGATTAGGCATTAGTGGTATTTTAATGTTTTTTCTTCGGGTGGTTCCCATCTCTAATGGTTTATATGATAGTCAAATTATGACAATCACAATTTGTTATGCTTAACAATTTAAAAATGTTCGCCTTGCATATTTTCAGGGGATGATGTGTGGAAGGTTCACTTTTATACTCCCAACTATGAACCAGGTACTGACACATGTAAGTTCTTATGTATGGACTGCTCCAAGTCAATACCACATGACCCACCCCTGCTCTACAACATCGAGAAGGACCCCAAAGAATCAAAAGAAATAGACATCAACAGTAATACAATGTATAAAGACATAATAGCCAAAGTTAACATAGCTGTGGCACAGCATAAGGGGTCTGTCACCCCTGTTGTGAACCAGTATAGATTTGATAAGATTTTCTGGAGGCCTTGGTTGCAGCCATGCTGTAATTTCCCACATTGCAATTGTATTGACCCAAAATATGCTACCATAACAGGTCAAATGGAAGCTAAATATTTGTAGCGAAATTTTCAAATGTTTGGCTGAAGTAATTCAATCATATCGGTGTAGCCTTTTTTATACCATTTGTCCAAGAATTAGTGTGTAAGGGTTTATATTTTTTATAATCTAAAGTTTGCCATGTACACTAAAACGAATATTATTTCTATCATTATAACAATAATATAGTTTAAAACAGATGAGGTATTAATCATGTTAATTGATAAACTGCATTCTGTTTTAGACCTAAGCTGTATAAGAATTCATCATCATCTGAGAGTAAAACGTAACAGCACACATCCAGCAAGAAAAAATTAAGTATTCATGTTATTTTTGTGGCCTACACATCAGATCGATTAAACAGATATTAATGTTTTGCCTATGCCAAATAAATAAATAGTACCATGGGTACTGGGCTCACATGGTGTTGCTCAAAAGTGAATAATGGCTAGCTAAAATGGCAGAAAATAAAAAAATGAATATTTTTTTGCTGAAATTATTTGTAAAGCTAGGAAAAGGGCCAAAAGTTAACAAAATTATTTCATACAACTTTTCTTTACAGTGACATGGCTTTTTACAATGCAGGACACCTGAAATTATTTGTAAAGCTAGGAAATGGGCAAAAAGTGAATTTCACGAGACAAAAATGGTGATCATTTTGAAAACAGGCGAGCTTTTGAACCAGGAGTCATAGGGGAGTTTTCTGTATTGATGTTGAACAAAAATAACTTAAACTGGGAATCCTATCGACAGAGGTTATTAATTAAATGGTCCAAAAGTGAATATTGCAAGACAAAAATGGCGGCCATTTTGAAAAAATGGGCAAGCTTTTGAACCAGGATTCAGTGGGGGTTTTTCTATATTGATGTTGAACAAAAATAACTTATAACAGGAATCCTATTGACAGAGGTTTTAAAACGGGCCAATTGTTGACAGACGGACAGACAGACAGACGGACAACGTGAGCTAAAAATGACTGTTTGAAAAAACATATACAAAGAATATAATACTTTACTTATTAATTTTTATAATTAATTTATTTCATTTAGTCAGGAATAATAGGATATGTGTTAAAACTTGTCTCTCATTACTGTTGATCGTGCAGACCGATATTCAATAAATATCCTATGTCATACTTAGTATTTGCATTCAAATCATGTTTCAAGCCTGATCCATCCATATTATGCTAAATATATATTACTTTGGTATAACAAAAATATCACCTTTGTAGTATTTTGTAGTATTTTAGTGACAGTGTTATCCTAGAGTGTACAATTTAATAACACTCTGATCCTAGTTCCTTGATTTCCATCATCTAATAATATTATCATGGCACATGTTTTCATTTTGTTCAGCAATTCATACGGGAAGATGTTTCTGGATTTGACAAAACCTTTCCCTGGAATTATTAAATAAAATACTATTGAAAAATGTCAAACAAATTAATATCATTAATACAAAGCCAACTGTCTTGTAATGCGTAGTTTGAAATGCTTTCCCATATTACTCAATTTTTATTTATGGTAGTATATGGTAAGTAATTCAGACGTACAAATCTCTCAATATAATTTTCTAGATCATATTTTCAGTTATGGTGAAACTTGTCATTGTCATTTTAGTTTGTCAATTGAGATTTCACTAAATAAGACAGGTCTTCAGTTCAGTCTAATATTTACAAAATAACTGATCAGCCCAATTTTGTGCTTACAATTTGTTAAAATCCTGATATGTTTGGACGTAGTGTAGGTTCAGTTCCTTGTTGTCCTGTAGGAGGCGCTGCACTTTGGCAGGATGTGTCGAGTCTACCTCTAACCACAAGAAACTAGAAGTGCATTTCAAACAGATCACAAATAAATTTCATGAATCCAAATTACAATGTATTCTACTCATCTATTTTGGAGACTTTGTAAATCCAAAAATAAAATAAGAATGCAAAGATTGACTAAAAGGATCCAAAAGCCATGATAGGGTACGAGACCTCATAGTAAAAGCTTTGGATTATGTTGAACTAGAGTAAACAACAGTAAAACCTATCTAAGTGGAACATTTTTACTACGTTTAAAATGTGTTCCACTCAGGATGTGCTCCACTGGTAGAGGTTAATTTAACATTAAGTCAGTTGGTCTTTGGACTCTGAAAAAGTGTGTTCCACTTCTAGAGGTAATTTACTTTACAGGTTTCACTTAACTACAATAAAACCTGTCTTAGTGAGCACCTCTCTCTAGTGAACACCTGTGTATAGTGAACACCACTTCAAGACACATTTTACATTAACTCCTGTATAAAATTCCCTGCTGTAGTGAACACCTACTACAGTGAACTCATTTTTGCGGCTCCATAGGTGTTCACTATATAAATTTTTTTTTGTACATCTATCAACATAATTGAACATACCCTTTGTCTTGTAGAACTTTTGAAGCTATATGCAGGGTTCTAATAATAGTATCCAATCCATCCAAGCCTCCATGCAGGGCACATGGATCCTCAAATAGGTCAATTTCAGGCTGGAGTTTTGTCATGTCCTTGGTTGGGATGTAAGGAGGGTTACTAACCAGCAGTTGATATCTTTCAGTACATGTGAACTCAGGATGTACTTCAACAGTATCTGAAATAGGATATGATGTTGATTCAATCTGAAATATTAATATTCTTTGACAATGTATTTCAAAATAACAGATGAACATAAGAATGGCACGATTCAGTAGGATAACATGATGAACAAGCTGATTCTTCAAAAGGGGGCAAGAGTGCATGAATTACCAGCATGGACCCCCATAAGATTGGTTTAGATGAGTGGGACTTTATTTGTCCCGAGACCCACGGACAGACAGATGAATAAGTGGCTGACCTTACACCCTCTGGATCTTTGAGTACGCTTCAATATGTTTCTAATACTTTGCTATTTATGTTTATTGATGCATTTTACATAAAAAGGTTTTTATTCAAAGCCGTTTAATTCCCCCTTACACATTTCCTTACTATGCAGAGGTACATACTATGTACTACATACGAGGGTTGCATGAACAGTTATGAGTACAACTATGAAGTCCTTTTGATGACTCACTACCTAGTTTATATACACAGGAAAAAGCGCTGCAGCACCGCTGACTGAAGTGTGTGATCTCGCAATGGGGACAATGTTGAAAAATAAATAGCTACAAAATTCATATCAGTTAAACTTCATAGTTAGGCTCATGACTTTTCAAACAACCCTCATATGTAGTACATAGTATGTACCTGTGATTCATTGATTCAATTTTGAAAATGAAAAGTCTCCAATAATTACCTTTGTTTAATTCTAGGTGAACAACATTAAGCCTGTCTTTTACTTTCTGTTTAACTGCATTGTGGGTAGTCAACTCACAGGCATCAATACTTCTGTCTATTGATGTACAGGTAGCCTGAAAATATTCCCATTGAGATAGTAAAAATAAATACTCACAGTCCAATTTAATATTACAATATTATACAAATTTTGAATTCTGTGGAGTTGAATATATGTGAATACACCCTCAGAAATATTTCACATGTTTTCAAAGGAGGAATACATGGAATACATGTACCTCTATATATTTTTAGTCACATGGTATCTGATTGACCAACAAGTATCACAGCATGAAAAATAATATGAATTATCCAGATTTTTCTTCATGGATGTATATGTACTCATAACATTTAATAATTCATTGATATAATTCAAAAGTAAAATCAGCTTATCAGCAATAGGAAATGTTTGCTATGTATATTTGTTACAAGTTGTTCAATTTGATTATGGTCAATATATGATAAAAACAAATCAATAGACTTGATCAAATCAGATCTTGTGAACAGCGAGACCTGTGGAACAACTCTGGAAATAGAACATCTCTGTTAGTGGAGCACTTTTCAGAGGGCCAAGACCAACTGACAATATGTTAGATCAACCTCTATAAAATCTATAAATGGAATGCTACTTCCCAAATGGAACACTTTTAAAGGTATCAAGGGTGTTCCACTTAGACTGGTTTTACTGTAATCTAAAATTAGTTCTCATACCTTTTGGAACCGTTTCAAAAGTGCTATTGCTATAGCCCCACTGCCACAACCAACCTCCAAAATAGTTAGTGCAGAATTTTCCAGACCTCTTGTCTTTAAATATTGCTGTATCAACTCGACCAGCTCCTGGAGGAAAAAACATATTAGACTATTTTTCTGTCATCTCATGTACTATACAGACTGTATGTATTATACACTATTGAAATAAATGTGCTACTTAGTGTAAGCTGTGATGTGGTTTGTGTTTATCTGCCATGGACTTGATGGAATGAATTGGAGTCTTACACTGACCATGAGCTTTACTGAATCAATGGTCTTCTCCAATTTTCTCTACAGCGCCCTGCCGATTGAGTTCAAAATACTCAATTGGCCAGGCACCGGCCGATGGATTGGAGCAAATGTGACTCAGGTATTAGATAAAAACAAGAACACAAATGTGTACAAAATGTCCCCACCTTTGGGTGATCCCGTCAAATGGTTATCCTATAAATGAGTAGACAAGACTTTACCGACACAATTTGAGGAGGGAATATCCAAAATGGCCACCTTAAAATTTACCCAGAATGCCCAAAAATTAGTCAGTTCTAGATTTTCATACTAAGAGCCACCCCTGAAAATTTGAAATTGATCCCTCACACAGTTAACCAGAAAACATATAAACAAGACCTTACAAACAAGATTTTAGGACGGAAAATCCAAAATGGCTGCCTTGACATTTATCCAGAATGCCAAAAAACTAATCTCTTCTAGATTTTCATACTAAGAATCATCCCTGAAAATTTGAAATTGATTTACCAAATGGTTCACCTGGAAATGCGTGGACAAAACTTAACAGACAAGATTTTAGGACAGAAAATCCAAAATGACTGCCTTGACATTTACCCAGAATGCCCAAAAACTAATCAGATCTAGATTTTCATACTAAGAATCATCTCTGAAAATTTGAAATTGATCTACCACACGGTTCACCTAAAAATGCGTAGACAAGACTTTACGGGCAAGATTTTAAGATGGAAAATCCAAAATGGCTGCCTTGACATTTATCCAGAATGCCAAAAAACTAATCAGATCTAGATTTTCATACTAAGAATCATCCCTGAAAATTTGAAATTGATCTATCAAACAGTTCACCTGGAAATACGTAGACAAGACTTTACATACAAGATTTTAGGACGGAAAATCCAAAATGGCTGCCTTGACATTTACCCAGAATGCCCAAAAACTAATCAGATCTAGATTTTCATACTAAGAATCATCCCTGAAAATTTGAAATTGATCTACCAAACGGTTCACCTGAAAACGCGTAGACAAGACTTCACAGACAAGATTTTAGGACGGAAAAATCCAAAATGGCCGACAATAAAAAAATGATTATGAGTTTATGCTGAAATCCTTTTACAAAATCACATATTACTACTGTTAACAATAACATAGGCTTTTACAACAAAGTACACCTGAAATTATTTATAAAGCTACTAAATAGTTGAAAAACACCATTGAATATGATACAAAGTATTATCGCGCGCTAACTTTTCTTAAAACATTCAAAATGGCTGACATGACTGAGCTAACAGGTCCAAAACCTAATCAGATGTAGAATGAAGTGAGCTGAACAAGATGTTAAAGTTTCAAAAGCAACTGTGAAGCCATTTTTCATTACGTCAAATATTACAGATTTAAAATATGACATCAATTTGACTTGATTTTGTTTATTTAATGACGTAAGTCAAGATTATATCTACTCGTATCAGGTCTGTTGTACCATAATTGTTCACGTAAATTACTTGTACAATTTAGTTGTACTTGTACTCTGTACAAACCTCAGTTTCTGGCCTTGGTATGAAAACTGGTTGCCTGACATCAAGGGTCATATCACAAAAGTCCCATTCTCCAAGCAGATATTGTATAGGCTCCCTGGAATAAATTTGAGCAAAGTTTAACAGCCTATTTTGTTGCACAAACTTACAGGGGCAAGTCCATGTAAGTTGGATCGACATGTTCATGTGCAACTGTGTTAGTATATCACTGTTTTATGCATTGAACACTTGATAACAACAAATTCCATGAAGATTCCAACATCATTGAAATATCTAAAGGTAATGAATACTTCAGGCCCATAGTATAGCATCCCCTGACCAAAGTTATTTCAAAATAATGCAGTTTTTCATAATTTGAACTATTTTCAACTGATTTTGGGCCATAATTGTCAAATTTTTACCCATCCCCATGGAATTTAAAAAACAACTGAATCACCCTTGGCAAAAATTGGCTACAGGTCTGACATTACAATATTTGTATTATTGATTATATTGGTACATGTGCTCACTTGTCTAATCTCCTTAAACACAATTCCTCCATCTTCTTATGTTGTGCAGCAGTCAGAAAACTGGATTTGTCTATTTCATGGAACTGAAATACCAAAAATACATTAAAAACACAAATTCCTGAAAATTCAAAACATTCTAAAGAGAAATTCTATACATAAAATCGGCTGTTTACTCAATTTAGAAGTTTTGGACAAAAAGTCCCTAAGTTGTAAAAGACACCATCATGACATCTCAATTCTTCTCAGCCATGTTTCTGCTAAAACAGAAATATGTGATGAGTACAGTAAAACCTGTATGTATCAAAAGACACCTCTTCAACTGAACACCCCTCAAATTTGAATATCTTTTCTCTTCCATTTTTCATCTGCCATGAGGACGTTTGAAAAAATAGCAATGTGAACACCAGCTGCCAATCTGAACACTTTTGGCTGGTCGGCTGATCTCAACGAGGCTTTTTTGGTTCAGAAAAGTGAGGTTTTACTGTATCAGAATTAGCTTTACATATTGCTCTGATTGCGCAGACTATTAAGTTATGCCAAAAGTGGCAGTCCTTAACAAAGAGCTGAAATAAGCTTTAAGATTTCTGTGCTTAACCAAGCAAAGTTTATTATAAAAACTGATATTACCATTTTGCTTCCTTGGACATGAGCAATAATGTATTCAGCAGATTCTTTTGGTTCTGATATTTTCCTATTTTTGAAAACATTAGTCCATCTGTCCACCAGGCAGCCAACATTTGAGCTACTTAAGGAACCACCAAGTATACCTCGCTTTGGAGTTGTTAAATGGAGCAAAGTGTCATGAATCCTAAAGTTTCCTTTTGTTCCAGATTTTACATTCATTGAGTGAAAATATCTATGATGCTTTTGTGATCCACAACTTGTGCATACTGGAAGATTTGTTATTATATGTAACAATCGTAAGTTTGAATTAATTACTTTTTGTGTGATTCTATTCATGTCAGCGATTATGAAATCAGGATTTGTGCAATGTAGCTCATCACTTTTAATCCATGCAATGTCAAATTGTGTCAACCCGAAACCATTTGGGCTAGATGGTCAGTATATATGAACTTTAGACGAGTAAGTCTTTGCAATATCCAACAGTCACTGCATGTACTGTAGCTTTAACAGCTCCCCATGCACCAAGTAAAGTAATCTTCATATAAGTGCCTTGATTTAAGCCAGATATTTGGTTAAAATTAGAATGTTGTTTCAATATGTCAACAGTTGATGCATCATTTGCTGAGCAAAACTAGGACGTCAACCTGAAAATCAAAAGCACATGGACACATGTTATCCTCAAAATCTATCAAATATCCCTACCTTGCGGTTATAATTCAAATTTTTGGAGGATGCACTGAAACGAAAAACAAATATCATTACAAGTGTAATACAATGTTTGAATAAAGTTCACAATCAAAAATATATGGCCTTGAGAGACATTTTGTTTCAAAGCACATTGAATTAAAGAATCATATTCATGTTATCTAAACATAACACTTAAACTAAACTTACAAAAAAAATTATTTTAGTAAGTGGAACAGAGAATGAGGAATAAACATTGCATCAATGTAATTTTTTTAATCTTATGTTCAGCTGATTATATATAAGATTGATAAGATTTTTAACAAAGAATATACAATTCGAATCTTACATGAGCAATATGAATATATTTTTCTTTATCCCACCCTAAGTGCTTTATATGGTTGTATAATAGCATTGTATAACTGCAATATAAAACCAACACTCATCGTATACAACTCTTGAGTACGATATACAACTCCTGGATAGCGTATACAACTCCTGGGCAGCGTATACAACTCTTCGACTTGATATACAACTGCTGATTAAAGATTAGGGTGGGATATAATGGTTGATTCTGTATATCGTTATACTCTCGTGAGTATATGATATATTCACCCGTTCCCTTCAGTCAATCGTGAATATATCATATACTCACGAGAGTATAAACATGATATACATACAGAATCAACCATTTTATAACCTCATATTATATAATTGCACAATAGTCTTTAGATTTCTTATTTTTCAGGTTCAACTGCTTGCCTTTGAAGCAACTTAACAGACTGTAGTGTACCGAGCCAGATACTAGACTCAAAAGAGAGTGTGCTTAATCAATTGCCTGTATGGGAATTAAACCCTAACGCCGCTAAAACGAGAGACTCTATAGAATAATGCAATGCACCAACAGAAAAGCATTTTTGTTTCGTTTTATGTATAGAACAAGTTTGAAGAAAAATGGTGCAGCGTGAGACTCAAAATCCTTGAATTTCATACACCTGGTTGATTGAAATTCAAATTTAATGGTTTTGCAGGATGTATTGGTTTCGATACATCCCCATGCCTTTGAAGCAACTTAACAGACTGTAGTGTACCGAGCCAGATACTAGACTCAAAAGAGAGTGTGCTTAATCAATTGCCTGTATGGGAATTAAACCCTAACGCCGCTAAAACGAGAGACTCTATAGAATAATGCAATGCACCAACAGAAAAGCATTTTTGTTTCGTTTTATGTATAGAACAAGTTTGAAGAAAAATGGTGCAGCGTGAGACTCAAAATCCTTGAATTTCATACACCTGGTTGATTGAAATTCAAATTTAATGGTTTTGCAGGATGTATTGGTTTCGATACATCCCCAGTCGTTGGACACCCGTGACTTTTCCCTGTGTACATGCTTTAGACCCACGTATAAAAACATGGGCTTTCAATTAGAAGGGTATGCAACTCTGTGTAATAACATGAGACCTTTAAAATGAGCAATGCCATGCTTCACTTTTATGGTAATATTTCAAAAAGTATTTGATAAATGTATGTTTTAGTATTATTTGAATAAAATTCAATTTTCAAAATGATTATAGAATAAAATATATTCAATCTCATGTAAAAGTAATCAAAAAAGACCAATTACACATTCCAATAAAAATATAATTTGTGGGAGAATGTTCACTTTTTGTATTGTCATAACTAGACAATGGCAACTCCGCGGAGTAGCAAATCCCAACGAACAAAATATCAATTACCGAATTCCAATCAATTATACTCATTACTTTGGTTAAAATTGAAAAATTTAGATTTTAGAATTGCGAATTCCTGCAAAGCAGCCATTTTGAATTTTCTGAGGTACAAATCTGAAGAATAATACCATAATTGTGATCTACTCCAAAATTCCTTCAATTTGAGTATAATATAGCCATACTTTGAAGGGATCGAAAAATTATTGCGAAATCGTACATTAGACGGCCATTTTGAATTTTACGAGGCTCGAATCAGAAAAAAGATACAATATTTGCAATCTACTCTTAACTGCCTTTCATTTGAGTATAATAAAGCTATACTTCAGAAAGATCTAAAAATTAGCGAAAATTACTGTTTTCCTGACCCCCCATACACGGCCCCTGGGGGTCAGGATGAAAAACACGGAATATATGTGAAATAGATAGATGTTGCAAATATACTACCAAAATTTCAAACAATAATATTAATTACTTTGGTTTAGAATGAAAAATTTATGGTTTTTGCGAAAAAGTCCCGTCATTTTTAAAGCGGCGGCCATCTTGAAAATTTTTTTTTTGCGTACAACTATTCACCAATATACATCTTTCCACTAAATATGAAGAAAATCCGTCAACCCGTATTTGAGTTATCTTCCGGACGGACGGACGGACGGACGGACGGACGGACGGACGGACTGACGGACTGACTGACGGACTGACGGACTGACTGACGGACTGACGGACGGAGGGCTTCACTATATCCCTACCGAACTTCGTTCATTGGGATAATTATGATGAATTCCATTTTATATTAAATCATCAACATGTATGAAGATACAGTGGGGGACAAAAATAAACCTCAACCATCAAAAGTTGTGACAATGAGCTAAATTGTAAGTTTCATGTCTCAAACTCTCCCAAGCGGTAGAAAAATAATTCCTGTTCACTTTAGTAGCACAATAAATAAAACTTCATACCTGCAAATGATGGCTAAATCCCTACCAAATCGAACGAATGTTTTCATGAATCGCCATGTTTGTGATCCAAGGAGGATTACTCCCAGAATGCAACATCACTTAACCTTATTTACTTGGACAGGACAGAAAGCTGACATGTGTCATGTTGCATTCTTGGAGCCAATCTCCCTTGCGCCGTAATCGGGCTCCAAAATCATGTCAACATTTGAAGAGTCGACATTAAGGTACAGCTGGAAAGTAACATTTTGGTAAAAAATTGCTATACCTGCACATGTTATTTTCTGGTACAAAATTAAGTATGAAGGCATGTGTGTATTTCCTTGCTTTTTTCAAGAAAGTATCTTGACACTATCTACTTTTAGTAAACCTGGAAACAGGTCAATGGTAGCTCCTGTGTTGTCTGGAAACTTTGAAAGAAAATTTGGAAAAACAGAAAGTGTGAAATATCAGAATTTCCTGGAATGTACTAAAAACCCTTCGACCTACGACCCTTCGACCCTACGACTTACTGGGTGTCAAGAATTTTTGGAATATATTTTATTGAAAAACCCTTCGACCTCTGATTTCCCAGTTCAGTTTACTAAATGATTACGTATAGTTCCAACTTGAGCTCCCTGTGCACGCAAATACGCATTTTACCTGGTAATTGTCAAGCAAAAATGTTTCAGTAGAAAAATTTCTAAAAAAGTTCGTCTACAAAGCAAAAATACGAACGCCAAAAAAAAACCGTACGCATTTCGTTCGGACTTTTTACGCGAATTACGTATATGTCACGCATTGCGTTCGAAATTTTTCGTCCCTACCCCCCTAGTACATGTTGATACTCATAAGCATGGCACATTGGCCAGGTGGCCATTTTGAAAAGTGGCCTCTACAGTATTTTAAAGTCTTATTTTACTTTTTTACTAAAACTTGAAAAGTAGTTGAACGATTTTGAGATCAAAAGTTCGATGGGATTTGCTCCACCTCGCGTTGCTGTTATCTAGTTCTGAAATGTTTCATATCTATGTCTAATAAATATAGTTGTATAGATGTGTTTGTAATAACTTTTATGCCCTTAAAATGTATATATTCAGGGGGGGACATTCGTGGGTTCAAGTGGACCACTCCATTGGCCAAATATTCTCTCAAAATCAGTACAATTTTTCACGATTCTGAGCATTTTCAAGATTTCTGGGCCACTTGAAAATTGACAAATGTTCACCCCTTGATCCTTTTGAAAAACTTAAATTGGCAAAAGCTGGTTATACGAACCTGATATGACCTAGCTTGCAAGCTTTTTCTTGAGTTTGTGTTTATTTTCCTTGTACCCTTGCATGCTTTGGATTTTGTAGGATGCAAAACAAAGAATCTACTTATTTAGTAGATTCTTAACTATACAAATCCAAATTGAATCAAAGTTGATAAAATCAAAAGACGGTTCTCTTTAAACTATATAAAAAATTTGACCTCCTGAAAATATGCACGATGCGCCACTGTTACAATGTGATGGGAAAAGCACAAATATTTTTACTGAGGAGGTAAGAAACGTTCACATTCGAATGTGCTTGAATACATTAAACCTGCACATCGCTCCAAAACGCAATATGTTGACATATATTGTTTTTACATTTTCAAGCTCTAATATAAGGTTTATGTAAATAAAAAAAATTATCTGCGTAATGTCAAAGAACAATCATTTAGTTAAAAAAAATAAAAAGGCGCTTGCAGAATTCAAACCCGGGCCTCCCGCGTGTTAAGCGAGCATTCTACCGCTACACCACAGTGATATTATGAATGGTGGGAGTAATTAAACGCTACTTATTTTGAATGCTATGATTCGGAAGTGACGTCACGTTCTTCATTTAGAAACCTTTCCAAAATCATATCGCCGGCTCCGATCGAAGTCCAGCTTTAAATATCTTTAACTCTTTTGGGACAGATTCTTAAGTTCTATACACAAAGTAATATTTCCAGCAACTTCATATGGACTGAGAAATATCTAGAAGGTCGAAGGGTTTTTATAAAAATATATTTCAAAAATTCTTGACACGCTGTAAGTCGTAGGTTGCAGGGTCGAAGGGTTTTTAGTACATTCCGAATTTCCTGGAGTTCCCATTGAACCCCTGCCAGATATTCTCAAAGAAGACAATGTATAATCTGAAAAAAGCAAGGAAATTGACACATATACTCTATTTTGTACCAGAAAATAACATGTGCAGGTATAGCAATTTTTTACCAAAATGTTACTTTCCAGCTGAACCTTAACATGTGAATATCCACTTCAACTTTTTAAGTTCTTATTTGTCATGGACACAAATTCCACAAAATTTGGACTTACTAGGACGGAGAAAATAGAGCACTGAATACACTGAGGTAAGAATTTATTACATTTGCGACAGCATTTTCTTGTAATGTGTACATACTCCAATTTTGAAAAACCAAAGGCATTGCTTATGTATGAAATATGGGAAGTTGACTATAGACTAGTTGAAGACCCATGATAAAAATAAAACGAAAAGACTGAGTAAAGTTATGTCTTTTTGGGCTTCCAGGTCGAACTTATAGCTCACACTTACATGTCAGTCAATTTGAGCAATAGCGTGTTCTTCTTGAAAGACGAAGCGGATATCAAGAAAAATAGAATGTGATTTGTCAATTATCACCCACAAATAAATCTAAATCTTGAGCTTGATATTATTTCGTCCACTTAGTTGAGAAAGAAAGACAAAGTGTCATTATACAAATGAAACATATCATAAACAAATTTCGCGTACCTTGACATTGACAATCGCCTTCATAGATAGCTCACTACATCTGATTGGAACCAGAGCCACATTTTTTGCAAAAATATCGGTTTCCGGCGGAAGTGGAATCCCGCCCGAATCTAGAAGTAGGTCGTTCTGTTGTAGTAGCAGACAAATCCACATTTTCCAAGGTAAGAGCATCAATTTTGTCACAAACTATATGCCTTGAAAAAACTTCAAAGGTATATAGATCCATTGAAACATAGATCTGTCAAGATTCCACTGAAGTTGGATCACAGGAGTTAGATTCAAAATTGCTTGAAAACTGTGATAAGAAATCTAAACACTTGGCCTTATCCCGTTCCAGGACTATAGTCCTGTACGGAGCCAATACATTTGCCTGTACGATTACAACTTGGGAGAATTATCTACACCCCTTCCACTTAAGAAACCTACCTCAATGCATTCTAGAACTCATTACATTTTGAGTTCTAGAATGTAGGTTTCTTAAGTGGAAGGGGCGTAGATAATTCTCCCAAGTTGTAATCGTACAGGCAAATGTATTGGCTCCGTACAGGACTATAGTCCGGGAACAGGATAAACTTGGCCTACTACAGTTGGGGACAAAAATAAATGACAGGTCGATTTTCGATCACCATTTCCTAATTATGGTGGTCTGAAAGCCCATAATTTCAAATATTGTCTAGATACATATCCCTTAAAATTTGTATATCTTACATTTTGTATAATCTCATCCACTTATTTATGGCCTCTTGTAAATTCTCTTATTTTTAACATGGGAAATCCTCACTTCAGCAAATCCACCTGTCATTTATTTATGTCCCCAACTGTAGTTCAACGTCGTTAAACTCAATAACGGCGTTCTTTATTATTAGGAATTTTGTTGGGGCCGTTATTGAGTTTAACCTCCTTGCTATTCTTTCCTTTGATGCAAGTTCTGAGTCCATCGAAACCATTCAGTGATCTCCCCAGGATTTTTTCATAGCAGGGGGGGATTTTTTTAACAAGTTTCGCCGCTCGCTTCGCTCGCATGATTTTTGTGCCAATTTTTGCCGCTCGCTTCGCTCGCTATATAAACACCAATTCTCATTTACAAAACCTTTTTTTTATTTAACAATACATGATAATATGCTTGTACTGTCATGAGTATTCATTGTTCATTGTGTTCATTGTTCATTGTGTTAAAGTCTTCTGTCCCTACAATAAGTACATCTTCTTGGGTGCATGTCAAACCACCTCCCCCATGCTGCCTCAAAATCGAACACCTCTTCCCTTGGTCCATTTATGATAATGTTGAGGACCCTGTCCACTGTTTCTACTTTCATTCTATTCTTTAGATAAGTCTTTTTAATTTTACCCATTTTTTTTTGAGTTTCCCGCATAAAGAATCGGAAGTCGAACTTCTTTATCATGACAACCATCAAAAGCAAGATTTGAACATTAATTCGTTCGCAATCATAATAACTATTAATAAAAAATAATACTTCATTGTCAAATTGTAGTTTTAGTCGTTTTTATGTTCGTTTTATTCCAAATTGGCGATTTTGATAATCGGTGATCATATCACTCCGCGTTGGAGTATAGGGGTAATCTGCGCCAGGTTCAACTGTTAACTTTTTCTAATTTTCTGAACGCACGCATCAAATGAACGATTTTGATAGGTTAGAATGTTTTGGGCGCATGCGCATACGTAGTCAAATCAAGTGATCGAACCGAACCTGGGGCAGATTATGTCGATGACGCACGATTAGTAATAGATAATTTGATTGGATATTTCGTAACTAATCATGAGTTTTGAGCCAATCAGAAGACATTTAAGATTCGGCCTTCGGAATGGCAAATCGGGAAAAACCTTTTGAAATTTTTTTTAAATTTATGTGATTTCGTCGAATATCCAGGAGAATAAAATAATGTACGTACGTTTTGAAGTAGCGGGGCGCTAAGCAGGGCGGGCGAAGCAAGCAGGGGGGGAACAGGGCGGGGAAAACGAGTGAGCAGGGGGGAGCGCCATGCAATTAGATTCTGGGGAGAACCCAGCCATTTTTCCGCGATAACGTGCAACTGATACTTGACAATAATATAAAAACATATAACATCAAGCGATTTAACACAATATTTTTGTGTTAAATGTTCATTTATACGAGTAAAATGAGGCCACACTTACCAATCTCTAAAGTGACATTTCCGCATGTTCCGTCATTGTGTCTGTTCGTCTGAGTGTCCCGGATCGTAAAATTAAACTACCAGCGAAACGAAATAGTTGTCAAATAGATTGATAATTATTATCGCGATTACTCGGGATAAAAAGATCAATTTTGAGGATAACGGGTATCTTTGATTAATTTATATAGCGCGTGTATACACGCAAAATAGTTATTAATTGCAAACCCACTGTTCGTTAATGCAGTGCCGTGATGACGGTTAATTCCTGAAACGATTTGCAATTTCGATGTTACCGAAACTGACCGACATTTTCGTCATATTCCAAACCTGTCTCCAATATTTTCGTAATTATGCATCAATAGGGTCTAAGGGGGATACGGGACGGGGTGTATGTGTTTATAAGGTATGTATGCATGTTTGAATCACATTCTTTGTGTAATATTGCCATGTTTTCAGGGTTTAATTTGTTCTGCTTGTCGAAACCTGCTGAACGATTAAATTAACGCATCAAAGGCAAAATGGTCATGGAGGTTAGACCTAGCCGGGCCATAACACATGTCAGATAAGAAACGAGGCCCGGGCTAGGTCTAATGTTGTTGGACTATAGGCCTACTACTTTTTTCAAGGCCTGACTTCGTCGCTAACATGCTAAATATAAGAGTTAGCTGACGTTTGGGAGTCTGACTTACCTTCTAAAGGTTAGAACCCGAATCTTAATGAAACCATATCACCTTTGTTCCGTCAACCATGGAGCATTTGCCACAACATCCAAGAGGTAAATCATGGACCGAGAAAATGAATGATTTCCTTGTAAGTTCCGGAAGTTTCAATACGAAAAATTACCGAACATATATGAAAACCGAATATTTGTTCGTTGTTTTCACGATTTATAGGTTCGTATGTTCTTCAATGTTTTGGTCTAAATTATAAAGCGTCACCAACAGGTCTTACTCTATTAATTGACTAATACAGCAGACGGCTCATATTTCTACGTAGCATTTCGTTCAGACCAAAAGTGGGAGTGTAGATCACGCAGTTTCGTTCGTTGCGTACTTCACTTGAAATTGGTAATTTTAAATATTGGCTACTTCACTTAGCATGGCGGATGTAGAACATTGCTTAATATTCTTTTAATTTTCACACCAGACATGCTTGGTTGACACGTCAACAAAGTAAAGTTCATGGGTCAATGCGTTATTTCGTGATAACTACAACGCCTTCCCGGAAGTCAACATTGATGAAAAATGAAAAAGTCGGAAAAGCATTTACACTAATTTCTATCAAATGTTTATGCATCATCATCGACGCAACAAAGGTGATATGGTTTCATTAAGATTCGGGTTCTAACCTTTAGAAGGTAAGTCAGACTCCCAAACGTCAGCTAACTCTTATATTTAGCATGTTAGCGACGAAGTCAAGCCTTGAAAAAAGTAGTAGATCGAGTATCTGTTACACAGGCAAGCAGTTGAACCTGAAAATTAAGAAATCTATAGACCATTGTGCCATAATACATGTATATAGAAATATATATTCATATTGCACATGTTTGTATATTTCAGAATTTTTAGCGTTTAGTGCAATAAGCCTATGCTTATCCCATCCCAGGACTATAGTCCTGTACCGAGAGCAATCTTTTGCCTGTACGATTACAACTTGGGAGAATCATCTACGCCCCTTACACTTAAGGATACCTACCTCAATGCATTATCGAACTCAAAATGTAACTTCTAATATATTAGAACCGCCAATTGTCTGGGTATACCAGCAGAACGGGAACATTTTTCTTTTTCATCGAGAGAGATTCCATCACTTTTCAAGATGGCAGTTGGATTTAAAATGGGATTCCCCGTTTGACTGTCCCGGATGTGGCTCGGAAGTACCAATAAATGGAGGAATTCGACAGTTGATATAAGTTAAATATAACATGCAAATATTGCGATCAAAAACGAAAATTTCTTTGTTCTGCCGATAAACCCAGACAATTGTGGATTCAACTACATGAAAAGAATGTTAAAATACCAAGGAATCTATTGAAGTAGGTATCTGAAGTATAAGAAGCGTAGAAAATTCTCCCATGTTGTAATCGAACAGGCAAAAGATTGAGATGTTCACAGGACTATAGTCCTGGTAGTAGAGATTTTACATTTTGGCATGTCAACCTAAGGTCCTTACCATGGCATGTGTGCACTAAGGTCCTATCACTTTTGGAAGAGTTTATTTTCATTCAAAAGGTAGTATAGGAGTCGATACACTTTATAAGCACAACATTTGAATACACACTCAGTGGAGTCAGTTACTTGAATAAAACCTAGACATTGCAAATCTATATAGTAATGTATTAGTATAGTATATAATTTATCAATTGTGTAAAAGACCCCATGCAGAACAGTTCTAGTGATAAAGACAATCTTCCCATTACAAACCAAAGGCTTTTATAAATTACCAAAATGCCCAAAAAATCACTATGGATTTTTCTATTATTGCAGACATTTATGATTAGTTTATTGACTAAATTTCACAAACAGGCACAATTCTAAAAAAAACTTACTTGGAAATACAAATTAAGGTGCTATGGAAGTTAACAGGAAATGACAAAACAAAAAATGTCAAAACCATGCTGGATTTCGAAAATTTTTTGAATCAAGATAACAGAGTTCTGTTTGGACCTCCAGTCAGTTTAATTAGTTCCACATATCATTTACATGACTGGGAACACAATGGAAATGGTCAGAATGACCATAAACATGATTAAATAACCTTTTCAGCCCTCTGAAAATGTGACTGAAAAATAGCTAAGAGTAGGTGCTCAGGAAGGTCACTGAACAGAATCTTTTGACTTTTTCAGAAAACGTGGCCAATATATTACTCTAAATGATACAATTTAAAAAAATTTCATATCATTCTCAGAAAAAGAAAAAAATGAAAAAAAACTGAATTTAAAATCGATCTATTTTCCTTTTAACTACAGCCATTATTGTTTCAGACAATTTTAAAAAATTTCAAAGAT